TTGATCATAATCTTTTATCATTCCAGCTTTCCCTCTGCCCAATGACCCCCTAGCCCTGTTTTTCATTCTTACAGTGACTTCCAATTCCTCCACTTCTCAGTTCTTACCTCTTTTCCAGTTATGTTCTTCTCCCTTCCATATCTCTACTCCTTGTTGAACCCATTCAAGCTTACACTATCCTCTACACTCAAGTTATATACTATTCTACTCACACCAGATGTGATAGTCCTCCTTGAACACCCCATACACCACTTTTCAGGGCTACTCCTCCACCTTTGGTGTCCACCTCTCACCCGATTCTCCCCCTGTGACTCTAAGAAGCTGTAGAATGCGTGGCGGCCACACCCTGGCAAAACTGTCTCTGCAGATGGGCTAACCCAGGTTGAGAGTAACCAATGGGTCTCAAAGCAATTGGTGAGTTAGAGGAACGTCTACCTCAAGCATGTGAAGACTTTCCCTGGCAGAATGGGCAGATGAGAACAATTTGTTCCAGTGGCCACGAAGGTGGATGAAGCGGGTGCCGTGGAGTGCTTAGAGTTTGGTCAGACGTGGAAGGCACCAAGATCATCCACTGCGTCCTGGGCCATCACCAGCTGCCTTGATTTTGGTCCTGCCACTGGATTTGGATGAAGCTGGAAGAGCAGCTCTGCCTCACTTAAATCTAGTTTATGAGGAAGTCAAGGGATAGCTCATGATGTCATTAGTCCTCTTCAAAACTAAGGGACCAACAACAGCTACTCCACTCGCCTAGGCGGTGCAATGGCTAGTGTGCTGGGTCTGGAGTCAGAAAGACCCGAGTTCAAATGTAATCTCAGGCGCTTAACAGCTGTGTGACCCTGAGCAAGTAACTGTCGAATGGGGATAATAAGTCATTGTGAAAATATAATAATATAATGACAGTTATTATAAAGTTCTTAGCAGAACACCCGGCCCATAGTAGGTACTATATAAATGCTTATTCTTCCCTTCTTTCCTTTGAGCCCCTTGTTCCCCTATCCTATTGCCAATCTTGCCTTGATAAACCTCAATCTTAGATTACTCCCACTATCCTCTGTCTTTACTCCTATTCATACACTACTAAATCAAGTTGGAGAAAATCATTAAATCATAATGATTTATGGACCCACTACAAATTTGTGTCATGTGATTTCAATAGTGCCTTTGTTTGTTTCACATGGATCTATAACTTCATCATCGTAGGGAATTTCTAGTCCATTCTAGTTGCCGTGGGTCCCGTAGGGTTTATAAACAGCTTGCCTCTGATAATTAATGTGTGTCAGAATCAGAATCTGAACCCAGATCTTCTTGATGCCAAGGCCAGATCTCTATCCACTCTATCACTTATGGCCCCCAATCATTTCACTACCCCATTCACCACACGGACTATTCCAAACCTTTTCATCCCTCCTCAAGAATCCCATGGTACCCCCTATGACTTTGGTAATAAAGACAATATTATATACAAAGAAGTATTGATGTCAAAGTAGCTTTCCTGCTTAGGGATGGGGAATTTTTGTTCCTACAAATGTTTCTCAGTCTAGTCTCCCCACACAGTGTCTGCAACCTGATGAAGCCTAATGTATTGCCTTTCATGTAAAGAAACTCAGATGACTTTACCTGCACTTTTTCATAAGTTTCCTGAAATAGAGGCTATAGGAGTGAAGTGGAAGACAGAAAGGGTAAGATGGATGGCAGCCAGGAAAGCCCTCTTTTTCTCCTTATCCCTGTCAGAAAGATCTCATGGTGTAAAGAAAGGGGATAATTTTTCATCTTTAGACTAGTGACAAGCATGTGCAAAGTGTCCATCACAGTATGGAGGAAATACCAGGAAGAGAAGACAAGGAGGTCCATTATCGCTTCTCACGGACACAGCCCAGCAGAGAGTAATTAGATAAGTCAGGAATTCAGTCAGCCCAGATTAAGAAGCAGCCAGAATGACATTTCCTATATTCAGCAATGTGCTTAGATTCCTGGGAAAATGTCAAAGGTAGAACAAAGTAATTAAATTAGTAAAGGAGATATTAGTTCAGTTTCACATCACACAGTTCCATATATTAATTTTTTGTCAGTATGTGGCACCCAGATTTTCCAACACTGAGAGAAAAGCAAGTGATCTCATTTGCTGAGAAATTTTAACCCCTGCCCCAAAGCAAAATTTCTTCAAAAGGCTATGGCTTTTAAAAAATGACTACATTTTTGGAGGCATTGATTGTTTTTCTCTGTAATTTTTGGCCAAGGTCTTAAATTGTAGTGAAGTCATAGAACTCACAGCTAACAATAATAATAATAATAATACCTAGCATTTATATTGTACTGTGAAGCACTTTACTTGTGTTATCTTAATTGATCCTCAAAACAATTCTATAAGGTAAGTACAATTATGATCCCCATTTTACAGATAAGGAAACTGAGGCTGAAAATGTTATGATATTTGCTCAGAGTTACACAGCTAATATAAATATCCAAGGCAAGATTTGAACTCTGCCTATGAGCAAGACTTTTAATTTCCCTGAGCCTCAGTTCCCTCATTTGTAAAATGATGAGGTTGGACTAAATGGTCTCAGAAATGTCTTCCAACTCAATTTAATTCAACTCAATAAACTTTTATTAAGGGGCTACTGTGTGCCAAGCATTGTTGCTAAGTGCTGGGGATACCAAAAAAAAGCTGAAAGACGGTGCCTGTCCTCAAGGAGCTTATAATCTGATGGGATAGACAACATGCAAACAATTACATGCCAAGCAAACTATATGCAGGATAAATAGGGAAATAATTCAAAAGGAGGAAAGGGCTGGAATTAAGAGGCATTGGGGAAGGCTCTCTATGGCAGCTGGAATTTTAGTTGGGACTGAAAGAAAGCCAAAGGATATTAGTCAGCAAAGGGAGAACTTTCACGATATAGGGGACAGCCAGAGAACCTCTAGATGGATGACCTTACAACCCAATATCTAAGTCTCTTCTAGCTTTCTATTTGTGACCCTCTGATTTTCTACCTGCACATATATCAGCGGAGGTGTCAGTGTGCAGTTTTAGGGACAATAGACAAAACGTAGAGAAAAGAAGGGAAGGCAGTCAGTGTGTATAATGAGCTCCTGAATAGTCAAGAATTAACCACCACATTGATGGCATCATGATCAAGTAGGAAAAACAACAAAGACTAGACTGAGAATGAGGCAGCTTGGGGGTACAATGGATAAAACACTGAACCTAATGTTAGGAAGACCTCAGTTCAAATATGGCCCCAGATACTTACAGCTGCTTCTCTACTGCCTGCAAGCATGCCCATGTCTCCACTATCCTCAAAAAACCCTCACTTGAGTCATCCTTCCCTGCTAGCTATCATCCTACATCTTCTTTCTTTCATGAATAAACTCCTTGAGAAGACTGTATATAATAGGTGTTTTTCACTCTATTCTTGACTCTATAGTCTGGTTTCTGAAACTATTCTCTTCAAAGTTACTAATGATCTCTTATGGCCAAATCTAATTGACTTTTTTAATCCTCACCCTCTTGACCTTTCTGTAACGTTTGACACAGTCAGTAACTCTCTTCTTGACATTTTCTTCTTTCTAGGTTATCATGGCACTACTATATCCTGGTTCTCCTTCATATCTGACTGTTCCTTCTCAGTTTTCATTGGTGGGTCCTTATCCAGGTCACATCTGCTTTCCTATGGGGCTCTGTCCTGTGCCCTCTTCTCTTCTCTCTTTACCATTTGACTTAGTGATCTCATCAGTTCTCATAAATTAAATTATCATCTCTAAGATTTATTTATCCAACTCTAATCTCTTTTCTGACTTCTGATCTAATATCTCCAACTGCCTATTGGGCATCTTGAACTGGATGTCTCATAGGGATCCTAAACTCAACATGTCGAAAACTGAACTCATTATCTTTTCCCCAAAACCTACCCCCTTCCAAACTTCCCAATTCCCCTTGAGGTCACCACTATCTTCTCAATTATCTGAGTTTGCACCCTTGGTGTCTGCCTTGACTCCTCTCCCATTAAGACTGCACTTGAAGATCTCTGGTGAGGGGAAAGCTATGGTTTCCTGAGGCAGATGCTTTAGGATGGCTCTCATTGTGAGGAAATATTTCCTCATATTAAACATCTGCCTCTCTGCTCCTAGTTATACCCTCTAGAGCCAGAAAAATAAATTTATTCCTTCTTCTATTTGACTGCCTTCCAAATATTTAAGAAGGCAATTATGTCCCCCTCCCCCAATGTCTTTTCTTCTCTGGGCTACTTGTCACCACTTCTTTCAAGACTCTTTGCTATCTTGCTTAAACTCTTATGAATCTTTCCCATTTCCCATATCCTTAAAATGTGGCACCCAGAACTGAGTACAGCACTCCAAATGTGGCCTGACCATGGCAGATTTCAGGAGAACTATCACCTTCCTAGGTTTAAATATTACACCTCCATTAACACAGCTGAAGACCTACTTAGCTATTTTTGGCTATCACTCTCAACTCACATTGAACTTATAGTGTGCTAAAAGCCTCAGATCTTTTTCAGATCAACTGATATTTATCTATACATGCTCCATCTTGTAGCTCTGAAGTTGAGCTTTTGAACTGTGTAACTTTAAATTTATTCCTACTGTATTTAATGCTATTAGATTGAACCCATTTTTCTAGCCTATCAAGATATTTTTTAATCCCTAATCAGTCATCCACTATGTATAATATGCCTTCAAGTTTTGGGTGCAAATTTTATAAGTATATTATATATGTCTTTATCCTACTCACTGTAAAATATGCTAAGTAGGACAGGACCAACAGCAAATTCCTAGAGGATTCCACTTCTTCTCATTTCAAAGCAGACCGTTAATGACTATGTCTTGCCCACATCACTCCATTTTTTTCCACAAGATTAGAATGAGAAACTTCCAAGTATTCATGAATTTATATAATTGTATTTCATATTTGTTTTCTTTTAAGTACATAGAACTGGATGTATTTTGTAATTTTTCAAAAATTGCCACGAATTTCCTTGTAGGTGGTGGGCAGGAGAATGGCAGGCCTGTTCAGCAACCTGTGGACCTCAAGGAGAGAAGAAACGGACAGTGTTGTGTATTCAGACAGTGGGCTCTGATGAGCAAGCCCTTCCTGCTAAAGACTGCCATCATCTGCTTAAGCCAAAGGCTCTCATTTCCTGCAACAGAGATGTCCTGTGTCCATCCGATTGGACAGTGAGCAACTGGAGTGAGGTAAGCTGAGCCATATGAGCCAAGGATTTTACCAGAGGTCTAGGTGGTCCTTCTCTACAACCAAACCCCAGATCAGGGTTGGGGAACCTGTAGCCTTGAGGCCACATATGGTCTTCTAGGTCCTTGGGTGTGGCCTTTTGACTGAGTCCAAGTTTTACAGAACAAATCCTTTTATTGAGGGGATTTGTTCTGTGAAGTTTGGATTCAGTCAAAGGGCTACACTTGAGGACCTAGAGGGACACATGTGGCCTTGAGGCCACAGGTTCCCTACCCCTGCCCCAAATGATCAATGCTCAGAAAACTGAGGCAATGGTGATGTGACCTTCTTCCCCTCCTCCTTCTTTCCCCATCCACGTCGTATTACTACCAATTCTTAAGCTGGGTTTGTTGTCCACTAATAAGGCTTAGTACTTCCCAGTGGTATTTGTATATTCATGATGGACTCTTGAAAATTGACAGTCTCTGAAATTCTAAAAAAGAAACTATAATGGTATAATGACAAGGAACAGAAGTGACCTTTGGGTGTAGGAAATCTAACATCCTCTTCAATCATCTCTTTATTGTAGGCAGTCTCCTATTCTACCTAGGTTTCAGGGGGTATGCCAGTCTGACAAAGCTTTTAGTCATACTCTTGGAAGGAATGAAGGTGACATTGCATAGAGCCAGAACGTATCTTTTTTTTTTTGTATTATCATTCTAGTTGTAGGATTAATTATCTGGAACAAGTAATTCAGAAACAATCAGATACAAGTTTGTCCTCAGAAAAGAATTTCTTCCAGCCACCTTCTAGACTGGCATCCTAAGACTTCGGTTGATTCCCAAGGTCAGCTTTGTCGCCATAAGGATCAGAGGCCATTATTGCCTCCAGTTCTGTTGCTGGGCATACATGCCATGCCTGACTGCCACCAAGTTAGTTAATAACTGCAAAGATGACTTGAAATGATGTGATTAAATTGTTTTAAGAAACAGACCATATTATACATATTGAAATGAGGTCATTATCTTAGAAATCAGTACATGCTTCTTCAAGGCAGTAATGCTCCCCCTGCTTAGTGCTACAATAAATCACATTTAGCAAGGTAATGAGAACTGTCTACCAGGCACATAATAAGAATTTATTTCCATGGTGAGCTAGGGTTTGGAAAGTACTTTCACCATAAGAACCCTCTGAGCTATGTAGTACAAGTATCTTTTACAGATGAAGAAACTGATAATCTAAAGCAGACCAGTGGCCACATTGGAAAAAAAATTATTAAAAGATTATTCTGCTCAGCTCTACCAGGCATAATGAGGAATTGTTGGTTAAAGTTACAGAATGCCAGCTGTGTGACCCTGGGCAAGTCACTTAACCCCAATTGCCTAAAAAAGAAAAAAACAAAAACAAAAAAACAATAAAGTTACAGAATGGCAAATTTAGACTTGCTATTAGTAGGGAAAACTTAGTAACAATTAGACATATTAAAAAGTGAAATGAACAACCCTGACACTGGAGGTCTTCATGCATAGACTGGATGGTTTCTTTGTCAGTGTGTTGTAGAGTGGATTCTTGCTGGGTTATGCATTGGGTGAGGTCCCCTCCAATTTTTTTGGCATTTTGAGGCTTGCCCAGGATCATACCCTCAGGAGTTGTCACACTTTTCCAGCAAGTTACAAATGTACTGGCCTGTAACCTCATTTATAATCTTTCTCAGGTTGTATTCTCCACATTCTAAAAATCCATTTCTGCTTTGGTTGTATGTGCCGTTACTCAACATTCTTAAACTCTACAAACCCAGGACACTGGTTCATTTAATCTCTGTGAGTGATCTTGAAGTCAAAAATATATATCAAGAAATAAACCCTCCAGCTAATGCAGAAATGCATGTCCCAATGCGTCATTGCTGGGCCAGAGCATCCTTTCTGTAGTTGCTGGGAGAGTCTGAATGTGAAGATTGGCCAGGTTAGCATACTTCCCTGCTGACCCAGAGGGCTGCGAATAACCATGTTGTCAACCTAAGGCCAAATGAGGTATTGCAACTAGTCCATTAAATCTATTTATCCAAAATATGCCAAGGCTGCTTGTAAGGCAGTTAATCATGCCTGTCATGCAGAGTTCACTAATTGTAAGAGTCACTAGCGGTTTTTTAAAAATTGCAGATTCTGTTGTTGAATTCTTCACACTGTATTTGTGTACAAGATGTACAGAATGACTTACTTTAGCCTGATAAGTGGCCTGACACATGCTGGTATCTATGTACTTCCTACTATAGGTTTGCTACTATGTTGTTAGAGGGATATCTTTACCTATGGTTTGGCTTTCATCTGTCACAGTTGAATGTAAATAATAACAAATACATTTATTAAATAATGCCACTATTCTTTTTTAATTTATAACATAAAGATGTCTATGGAAGGACATACACATGGATAGACCTGGCCTTCCCATTTCCCACCTGCCATTCTCCTAATCCATCATTGTAGACTGGTAAATAATAGGTACATTGTCAGAGGAAGAACTTGAATGATGCAGGTCTTCCTGACTTCTAAGCTACGCACTCACAGCTTCACACTGTTCTATGTTGGTGGGGAAAGTTTCCATGCTGGGAGCTGCTTAGATCAAAGAAAGCATGAGTCTGGACTAGAGATAGACTAACAGAATCTTCAGTTACTTCCCAAGAACCAATTGAATGGCCACTGTTACTGCCACCATTCTTTGTTGTCTTAGCCTTAGACAAACTTGTGGCATTCTGCTCAGTCTGTGTCCTGGCACTGCTTAACAATTTCACCAGGATGTTCATATTTGAATTAAGATTGTTTGAAGGCAAGTCATTTAATTGCCCATTCAATTCAATTTCAATTCAGTAAGCATTTACGAAGCACCTACCATGTGCCAGGCATTGAACCCCAAGCACTGGGGATACAAATAAGAAAAAGAAAGCAGTCCCAGTCTTCAAGGAGCTTATAATCTAATAGGGGAAGACAATACAGAAGGAAGCTAGAAAGGGAGGGAAAACGTTGGGTAGTACAGGAGTGAAGGGAGGGGACAGGCATCTTGTTGAGTTGCGTTCAACACAATCAGAGTTGCAAATGGAAGTGGAGCATGAATTGGAAAGTTTAGATCCTGCCATCTATAAAGGAAAGCTTTAAAAGCTATTGAATTTATTGTTCAAGTTTATTATTTATTTATTTTAACATTCCCTTTTTTTATTTTGAGCTTCAAATTTTCTCCCTCCAGCCCCTCCCAGACTCATTGAGTAGGGCAAGCAATATGATATGAATTATACATATCATGCAAAGTCATGCAAAATGTATTTATATATTAGCCATATTGCAAAAAAAAGCAAGAAAAATGAGGCAAAAAATTATACTCAGAGTTCATCAGTTCTCTCTCTGGAGGTGGATAGCATTTTTTATCATGAGTCCTTTGGAATTGTCTTGGATTATTATATTGATCAGAGCATCTAAGTCTTCCATGGTTGGTCATCATTACAATATTGCTGTTACTATGTACAACGGTTTCCTGGTTCTGCTCACTTCACTGTGTATCAGTTCTTATAAATCTTCCAGGTTTTTCTAAAATCATCCCTCTCGCAATTTCTTGTAGCATAATAGAATTTCATCACAATCATATACCACAACTTGTTCAGCCGTTCCTCAATTGATGAGTATCCCTTCAATTTCCAATTCTTTGCCATCTTAAAAAGACCTGCTATAAATGGTTTTTGTATATATAGGACCTTCTCCTTTTTCTTTGAGCTCCTTGGGATACAGACCTAGTAGGGGTATTGCTGGGTCATAGATATGGACAGATTTATAGCCCTTTGGGCATAATTCCAAATTGTTGTCCATAATATTTGGATTAGTTCACAATTCCACCAACAGTGCATCAGTATCCCTTTTTTCCACATCCACTCCAGCATTTGTTATTTTCCTTTTCTGTCATGTTAGCCACTCAGGTAAGGGTGAGGTGATATCTCAAAGATGTTTTAATTTGGGTTTCTCTAATCAGTACTGATTCAGAGCATTTTCATATGACTACAGATAACTTTGATTTTTTTATTCTAAAAACTGCCCCTTCATATCCTTTGACCACTTATCAATTGAAGAATGGCTAATAGTTTTATAAATTTGGCTTAGTTTTCTACATATTTGGTAAACAAAACCTTTATTTGTGAAACTGGCTGTAAAAATTCTTTCTTTTAGTTTCCTGCTCTCCTTCTAATTTTGGCTACATTAGTTTTGTTTTTGCATAAACTTTTTAATTTAATGTAATCAAAAGTATCCATTGTGCTTCTCATGATCCTTTCTATATCTTGTTTAGAAAAGCCATTGAATTTTAAAGTCTATTAAATTGACCTTTTAATTTCACTCACTTTCTTAAATAACAATTGACTGGATCCAGGCAGGGTCTCAGTTGGGTTGGCCCTTCCCCCATGAGATATCCAGTTCACTTTCCTTTTTCTGTTGTTATATGAACCACCTGATTACCTCATTGATCCTATGGTTGACAGGTTTTGGTAGTGGGAGGGAAGGGCTCCTGGTTTAACTGAATCTAAGTAGTGCAATGAATAGAGCCATGAATCAGGAAGACCTGAGTTCAAATGCAGCCCCACTTTCTACCTGTGCAGTGGTGGGCAAGTCACTTAGCTGCTGTCTGCCTCAGTTTCCTTATCTGTAAGATAGTGATAATAATAGCATCTGCCTCCTATGTTATTGTGAGGACCAAATTAGACTAGCTGTCATCATCATTAATGTTGTTGTTGTTATTATTATTATTTGGAGAGTTGGGCCACCAGAGGAAGGTATGCATAGAGTTGACAGGCACCAGAGAAATAAGAATTCTATTGGATCTCCAGGGGGGCAGGACTTGCTCTTGTCTTTAGCTGGTAGAGTAGGTCCATTAGGGCTTCAAGTGAGAGGCTTCAATCTTGAGGCTATGGCAGGAGAAGGAAAGTGAGCCATAATCATGTGAAATATTCCTTGTGGACTCAGCACCCAAGTTATACCTGGCTGTCACCTTT